GAGTTGTCTGGTTTAGCATGTGGCCCCCTTTTCATCCACAGCCCCATTTCACAGAGCAGGAAACAGGGGTTCTGCAGTTTAATGATTTGCCCAGGGTCCCAGAGCAAGTAGGCTGCAAAGTAGTTTTAAACTCAGGTTTGCTTGACTGCAAGACCCATCTCATCCTGCTCCTGCACGTGCTGAAGGGAGTTTTTCTGAGCCAGTAAGCTGGGAAAAGGTAGGGATTTGCAAAATTGTCCTTAGGGACCTGGAATGGGAGTATAGCACCAACTTCGTGGTTTGGGGGCCACTTCCTGCTAAGTGACAGTTTTAGACGAGGTGCCTGGAAATGTCTGTGTGCTCTGTTTCGACACACAGGGAGGCAAGGATTTTTTCTTTAACATGTGTTGTGTTTTTCATAGATAGCATCCCTTTTCCACTTTCCTTTCAAAGCTTGGGAGACTGTATGCTCTTTCAAAGGGAGTAGAGGGCTCAGCAAGGAGAAATTTTCAGCTACCTGGTCCCTTGGCAGTTCAAATATCATTCAGAACATCTGCTTCTATTTTATCTGTTTGCCTTATGAAGTAAGTCAAGGGTAAATTTGACATAAGAAGCAAAATATCTTCCTGAACCAAAAATCCCAGTACTTGGCCATCTGAAAAAATTTCTTTAGTTGTTTACACATTGCAGGAATGACAGAAAATCTATACAAACCCCCATAATTAAGATTCAGCTAATAAGACCCCAAAATTGAGAAATTAACTACTGAATACTTTTAAAAATATTTATTTGTTTGTTTGTTCATTAGAGAGAGGGTAAGGAAGGGGGAAAGAGAGGGAGAGAAACATCAATCGTTTGCCCTTTGTACACGTCCCAGACCAGGGACCAAACCCCCAGCCTAGGCATGGACCCTGACCTGAAATCGAACTGGTGACCTCTCGCTTTTGTGGAACGATGCCCAGCCCACTGAGCCATGTTGTTCAGGGCTACTGTTAAATGCTTTTAGAGTAATTCCTTCCGGTCGTTTCTGAACTGTTTTTAAAAACCAAGCACTCGTTGGGGAGGTGATTAACAAGATCATAACAAAGTTTCCACAGAAGACTAACAAAGCTTGGAATTTATTCTAGATGTCTCCCTTTAGGGAGAAGATCTAGAACTTTTCCTCAACAGCCAAAGTTGAGGAAAATTAAGCTCTGGAGCACATGCATGTGCACAGGTGGGTAGCAGCCCCTTAAGTAAATATGCTGTGTTGCGCGTGGGTCACCGGCCAGCAGTGACCATGGAACGCTGTGGATGGCTCGATGAAAACACACGAGAAAAAACAACACATGCACAGAGACAAACTAGTTTCTGTAGAGAAGTAGGGACGAAATGGCCACCCCTTCTAGTGAGGAGCGCACCGATTTACAGTCCATACCTGCTTTTATTGGGCTCATGCTGCATAATAATTCAGGTAAAGTACAGTACTCATTAGGGGAAGTAAGGAACTATAGAAAACAAAGAACTCTGCCGGTCTATTGAGTTGGGGGTCAAAGAGCTGTAAGACTGAGGAACAAACTAACTTCCTCCTAAGACCCTTCTCATTCAACTGAGAGCATTCTAAACAAAGAAGGTTTCACGGTAATTTACATATTCTTTCTTAGGCCTGATCACCCTGGGGAATCCGCACTTCTCAGTACCGAGCTGCACCACCCTGTCATTGTTTCAGGCTTAGGTGGAGCAAGGGAACTAGGTAACCAAGAGATAAGGAGATTTTCTTCCAGACGCTGAGAACTCAGGCTATGTCAAAGCCGAGGAGTGAGGGTCCATCACCCCCCTTTTGCTGCAGCCCCCCAAGTCCTTCTTTTGGGGGGCCTCCCAAAGTGATCGTGCCTGGCTTAGGTCGCTTTCCCCCGTGGGGAATCTTACCCGTCTTTGGCTAACCGACCAAGCTTTTGGGGGTTCAGTCATGAATAAAGCAGCAGAAGCAGCATTCCTGCCAGGGAGATAAGCTTTTGTCTCCTTGCTGGCTCACGGTTCCAAGGGCGTTCCTTTAGCTTTAGCCTAGGCGGGGGTTTCAGCCTCTGATACCAGTCAGGGCGGTTCCCAACAATGCTGTGACTGGGGCCACAGCCCTTCTCCAGAAAAGCAACAATAGTGACCAGTATAGTTCCACCATGTGAATCTTATCTGTTTTCTGGTTTGCTTACTTTCTTAAGTGGCTCTTTTCTTTTTCCCATGTGTTGAAATTTACATACAAGGAAATGTCCCTCTGAAACGGAGTGTCTACACGGTGTTCTTTAAGCCCAGCATTGTCACCTCAAGGCGACTGCTGTTCTGACTTAGTAAATTAGTTTTCCCTTTTCAGGGACTTCACATAAATGGAATCATATGTAGGTTGTTTCTTTTTTTATGTAAGACTTCTTTGACTCAGCAAAATGTTTTTATTTATTAGCCATGGTGCATGTATCAGGAGTCCATTCCTTTATATTGCTGAGTATGTTCCATTATATAAGGATTCTACAGTTTTGGGTTTTGTAAGTTATTTTTGGTGTACATTTTATTTGTTTGTTTGTTATCTATTTTCTTGTTGATGGACACTTGGTTATTTTCAGTTTTTGTCCAAATACAGTTGCTAAGAATATTTTTCTACAAGTCTTTTTGTGGACACGTTTTCACTTCTCTTGAGTAAACATCTATGAATGCAATTGCTGAGTCATAGGGCTGGTAAATGTTTATTTTTATAAGAAACTGACGGGTTTTTTTTCCGAGATGGTTGGATCATTTTACACCCCCACTGCCAACATGTGAGAACTTTTAATGCCATTGGACATTATCAGTCACATCTGGTTTGGTCTTAATTTGCATTTCTCTCATGACTAAGAACGTTGAGTGCTTCTTCACATGCTTACTGACCCTTTGTGTATCTTGCTTTGTCAAGTGATTGTTGAAACCTTTTGCCCATTTTTAAAGATTGAATTGTATTTTTACTATTGAGTTGCAGGTGTTCCTTGCACTTGCATATCTTCATATGGTATACAGATGTATGTATGAGATCCTCCACCTCCTCCGAGGAGCGGGGGTCCAGTTACTTGATCTTTTTGGCTGTATTTGCCCTCAAAATGATGCCAGGGGTTCTGCTTTGTTTAGTAGTACTATATTCCCAGTGCCTACGATGCCCCCACCGACACATAGTAGTAGCTGTTAAAAGACTGGAATACTTTCAGAAAGAAAGGGTTTATTGAGCATCTGCTAGCCAGAAAAAGGACCAGGTCCTGGGACATGCGGTCTAAAGCACCATTAGCAGGGCTACATGGAGACTATGAATGTGTCCTTTGTCCCGGAGCGGATGGGCTCTTCTGTACAGTGGGTTTGGGGAAGAAAGATGTAAGTTGTTTTGAAAGAATTTAATTTGGCTGTGGGATGGCAGGTAAAGGTGAGGTGAGGGCAGTCCTAGGATACATGTGTAGTCCCTAAGGAAGAAATAGTTCCTACTTCTGATGGGCTGTGGCAACAGTCTGGAAAGTTCATACATAAGCAGGATGTGGTGGCATCTGGTGGTTGGCTTTTTTTTTTTTTAAAAAAAAGCAGCCTGGAAGTTGATTCAAAATTTCAACACATATTCAGGAATGTGAGCAGTCTTTTGTTGATTTTGGCCTGTGGCTCTTACCTGATTAGTTCCCATCCTCTGGCCTGCTGTGATTTAATTTAGGACATCTCAGAATTATTTTCTTGTTAGAGATCATTTACATAAACATTCCCTGAAGCAGTGAATGAATGAGCTGCTGAGCTGACTTTTGCGCCTGATATCCAGATTCAAAGTTCTTGAATTTAGTGGCAGTGATTAACAAGGAAATAGAGAAAAAGAAAGGAAAGCTTCCCTTGAGCTATAAAGTACACTTGACACAAAAGACTGAGATACCTTCAGGGGATTTGTTCACCAGGGGAAATACTGCTAGGATATCTTAAGAAATAGCCTATTTTGCCCCATTTATGTACCCACAAGTGAAAGCCACCTCTGCTGACTTGCTGTGTTCTGCGACTATATCCCACCTCTTCCTAGTCTTGGGATCTCATCCGGCTTGCTTGATGGATGATCAGAGAGCATCTAGCTTTGGAAGGTATTAGACAATCCAGCTGATCCCAGCTTTCAACATCTTCCTATTGGCTCCCTCTGACGCTGCCCATTCCGGGCCTGCCTGGCTCCGTCGCAGGACACAGGGAGCTCTGTGCCTCACCAGCAGGTCTGCCCCCACTGGTGTGCACTGCCTTTCTCAGCGCCTAGGGCCAGCAGTGGGCTCCTTCCCCTGCGGTCTGCAAGTGATTTTCCTGGTCCTGATCCAGCTGGCTCCAGCCTTTCCTGTTGGGGATACACATGCAATAATCATCGTCAGCATCCACATCTATAGAGAACTTCGCCATTTACAGAGCACATTCACACCCTTTATTCACAGACTCCAAAGAGTCCTATTTGTATCCCCTTTTGTTTGTTTGTTTGTTTGTTTTTCCCAAATGAGGTGGCATGAAGGTGATTTCATTTGCTCCAGAATGGAAAAGTTGCCATTACGCAGCCTAGAGTTCCCTAAGACTCTCTGGGGCTTGCTCAAAGAATATTGGTGCTTTCTTATCTCTGATGGGTGAACGAGTGTAGTGTTTAAAGGGTTCCATAGATTTTTATAGTTCAGCAGCTTGGATTACTTCTGTCATAAGAAATTCAGTTACCACAGCAAAAACATATGCGGGTAGTTCCCAACCTTTTTCTTGAACCACCATTATGGGTTCCCTGTACCCCACCCTCCCTGGATCACACGTCACCAAAAAAATTTTCACCAACAGCTGTACATTTTAAATGTCCCCCCAAATGTCATGGAACCAGAACTTTTACAGTGTATCAGTAATAGTCTCATTCAAATTATGCTTTCAAAGAGTCATGATGGGTATTCTAGTAGAATTAATGTTACTCCGTGTGCCAATTATACATACTATACATATTATGTTTATTATCTTATTAACTAGTGTACTCGATCTTGCATTTTCTGTAGGAGATCCAGCAGAAATCCACCAACGTCATCTATCAGGCCCACCATGTGAGCAGGAATAAGAGAGGGCAGGTTGTCGGAACAAGGGGCGGATTCCGAGGATGTACTGTGTGGCTGACAGGTATGCCATGTTGAGAGATTTTTTTTTTTTTTATCAAAAATTGATGTGTGGCCCTGGCTGGTGTGGCTCAGTACATTGAGTGCCGGCCTGCCAACCAAAGTGTCACTGGTTCCATTCCCAGTCAGGGCACATGCCTGGGTTGCGGGCCAGGTCCCCAGGAGGGCGTGCGTGAGAGGCAACCACCCATTGATGTCTCTCTCCCTCTCTCCCTCCTTTCCCCTCTCTCTAAAAATAAATAAATAAAATATTTTAAAAATCGTGTGACAAAAAATTTAAGGAAAAATGGATGTAACATAATTACGTGCTTAACATTAGAGGGAGGCTGAAAGCTGCCCAGGCGTTACTCCTGACTTGACCCTCGGTGAGAACTAGGACTTTGATCACGTCACGAAATGTCACGAGTTCTCAGTTTTCTCCTCTTCATCAGGAGAAGATAGGACAAGCTGATGATGACATTCCCTTTGGCCTAAGAAATTCCACAATACTCAACTTCATGCCTAAGCACAGTTACCGGAAGTTATGCACGGGGCTTTCCTTATTTGACATCAAGCATTTGGCATCAAGCATAACATTTTGGATGTTTAGAGATATTCCCTATTGTTTTCTGATACTTTAGCATTCTGAGAAACTCTTGTACTTAGTGTAAAAAAATTAAACCCCTTGTAAGAAGGAAAACTAGTGATTTCTATTTAGCTGAGGATTGCCCCTCGTGTATAGAAATAACTCACTCCCATTGAGGTAACCAAATGAATCTCCCTTTTCTTGTGTTTTTATAGCCACAGAATGTCAACGCTAAGGGTTAGTGACAGAACTGGAACCACTCATGGGCTGTGACCTTATACTTTGAGTACAATGTAGAAGTAGTTGATTCCTGGGAAAATTCTGAGATAGCCTGGATTCAAAAGAAAAAATTAGATTCATTTTATAGTTTTCAAATAGAGATGACTGCAGATGCAAAGATATGTTTATACAGGTTATGAAATCAACTTCTGTGTTACTGTCCATTCACAAATGCTGAAGTATTCTTACCTGAAGATAATTCTAAGGAATACGCCAGGCAGGGGCCTGCCTTGCCTCTTATCTTAATATCCCCTGTGTTTCCCATTTGTATCTAAATCGGCTTCGTTCTTCTTTTTCAAGTTTTTTTTCTAGTGACTTTGGCACTTGCTTTTGGTCTTCTGGTTTCGTTCATCCCTGGTCCACCAACTTTTCCCAGCTTCCAGGGGGAGGATAGACAGTGAGCAAGGGGCCTGCCCTTTTCCGAAAGGCAGCATTTGCCTGTCGTGATTCCTGAAATGTTTCCCCCGACTCCCTCTCGGAGACATAATGGGCAGCAGTAGATAAAACGCAGCTGTGTTCCCAATGTTTCTCTCTTGTTATGTACTTGTCTTCATGAGGTGTTTGCCTTCATGTATTTGCCCACTTTCGTGTTGGGACATCCACACGGTGCCCACTTTTTCTAATGTGGGACACCCTTGAAAAGGGAAAAGAACTGGTGGAAGAGGGGGAAAATTTTCAAGAGCATACTTCCTTTGGCTTTTCCTACTTTTAAAAAATAATCTTTTTGTACTTTATTTTTTTATTCTAATATTGCAGGTAAGATATTGACCAGGCTGTCCAGAAGAAATTAAATACTTCTAAAACAGAGACTTGAATGTGGGCCCCAGCTGCACCTCCACTGACTGTGTGACTTTGGCCAAGCCAATGAACCTCTCTCTGAGGAATAAACACAGTGCCTTTCTCATAGACGTGTAGGTAGAACTGAGTGAAACAGAGTAAATATGCACTTGGCACAGTGCCTAGTCCTTGGTAACTCTCTTGACAAATGTAATTAGTATTACTCAAGTTTTAAAAAAATAAATATGGCATTAATCTAGTTTTATACAGTTACTGTTATTTAGTTCTTAGTTTCCTGCATGCTGAAACAGAAACAAAGGAAACATCTATTATTTCTCTCATTTTCTGATGGGAGAGAATATCCCAGAGATTCAGGAGTCGCATTTCTCCTACCCCACAACCAGACAGAACTGCTAAGAGACACTGAGTTACATAATTAATAGACAAAGTTGCCTAACAGGCCGTGTTTTCAGCAATGATTTATAGAGATGGCCAACACACTCTTCATGTAAACACTTCTTCTAATGACCCTATGTTAAGGCCAGGGGCACGACTTTAAATTCTGAAATATGGAAAATATTTGTTTGCCTTTCATATGTCACCTTTGTTCCCAAGTCTCCTTTTCTCTCTGTCCTTGTCCCTGCTTTTCTCATATTTTTCTTTTTCCCTCTTTTCACCTGCTGTCTTCACTGTAGAAACCTCTCAACCTCCTTTTCTTTGCCCCCGACTCTTCCTCTTCTACACGCGGGTGCTGACAGCGGCTTGACCCAATGGAGCATTCTTCAGGTTCTGAGATCTTTAGGACAACTGAACTTTTAGAGTGCTACTTTTCCAGGGCAGTTTAGATTTTGAGCTCTTCAGTAATTTTGGAAGATAGCATTTCTTTCCCTTTCTCTTTATATTCTCCTACATAGAGACATTACAAAGCGTGCTCCCAACCATTGTGCTTTGAAACCACAGTGAAAGGTACTTGGTAAGTACCTTTCTTGGTACCTTACTTGGTAAGTCTGCTCTATGTAAAGACCCGAACACCGAAGGGTGCGTGGCAGTGCCGCACACGTCCACAGCCCAGCTCAAGACGCTTCTCTGCCTTCGTGTTTGAGAATCATTTTGGAAAAAGTTTGAAAACAAAGGGCAGGATCTGAGTTCTGTTGTAGATGATCGTGATGTGGGCCACCCAGCCTGGCTGTCCTCTCTACTAGAGCTGATCGTTGTCGCAAGAGGATATGAGAACCCTTTTACCAGATCTTCTGTGGGTTTTCTTTTTTCCAGTTTCAAGAGAACCAAAATCTGGATTTCTGTGTGCAACTTTCTAATGTCTAAAACACTCTGCAGGCAAAATAGCACGTAGCAGGGACCAAACGCAGCCCCACAAGGTTTCCCCATTTATGAACCTCTCTTGCTTTGAAGGCTATAGTCCCAATCAGGCACAAATAGTTATTTCAAGATCTGAAAGAAATGCAAGTACTTGACTTGTAGTAAACCATGGTTTTTCTAGATTGTAAGGGTTTTGATTTGAGATCAATCAAATGATTGTAATAAGGTGTAATTACACTTCAATTGGGTAAAAACTAGGATCAGGCCACAAATAGCATCAGGTTCCAATTTGTCGTGTCAGACAACCAGGGACGATGCCTGTCTTGTCCTGCCTGTCCTGAACAGGTCTCTCCGGTGCCGGGAAGACCACGATAAGCTTCGCTCTGGAAGAGTACCTGGTCTCCCACTCCATCCCTTGCTACTCCATGGACGGAGACAATGTGCGTCATGGCCTTAACAGAAACCTCGGATTCTCGCCCGGAGACAGAGAGGAAAACATCCGCCGGGTTGCCGAGGTGGCCAAGCTGTTTGCGGACGCCGGACTGGTCTGCATCACCAGCTTCATTTCTCCTTTCGCGAAGGTAAACTCACTCGGTGCCGCACTCGGTGTGTTCCCACACACACACCGCCTGGGCCCTCAGACTGTCAGGGAAGGGGTGGGGAAGGTGTGGAGGAATGTTAAACTTTCTGTTTCCCGCACTGTTTCTTCCTCCCCTCACTTGCTCCCTCATTTCCTCTATTTAATGTTAGTTATATAAAGAGAGTTCCTTCATTTCCAGATGCCAGGGCACCAGATGGCATAACCCCTTCCACATTCACAATTGTGAGGTACACTTGGCCAGAGCTGAAAGGAAGAACATGTTAAGCAAGAAAAACTCTAAAGCTCTATAATTTCATTTCTCCCAAAACTCAGAATGCTTGGATCACTTAAAGGAAACAGCAGTTCACTTCCAAAAGCCCCAGGTGCTGTGTGTTTAATACAGAAATCGCTGAGGTCGAGTGTCACTCTGTTTGTTTTACAACAGGGAATTTCTGGGAGCTTCAGATAAGATACCTATACTTTGAATATGTCTGTTGAATGACATGCTCCCAGGTTGCCAGCCCTGAACTTTAGCAGAGACTTCCTGCTGTGGTTTTTTCTGAGAGTTCTTGAGAGAGCTGCGTTTACTGGAGCAAAGTTTCTGGACTTTCTCTGGGGGAAAAGTTTCTTGCCTCTGCGAGCACAGACACCTGCTGTTATCTGCAGGTATCAGAGGACACAGTGTTTTCTGATAAAGAATTTAATTGTGAAACCTCTTCTTACATTCATTTTTATTTTTATTTTATTTATTGATTTTTAGAAAGTGAGAGGAAGGGGGAGTGGGGTAGAGAAAGAGAGGGAGAGAGAGAGAGAGAGAGAGAGAGAGAGAGACATCAGTTTGTTGTTACACTCATTTATCCATTCGTTGCGTGATTCTTGTGTGTGCCCTGACCAGGAATCAAACCTGCAACCTTGGCGTATAGGCAGGAGGGCCTAATCAACTGAGCAATCCGCCAGGGCCTCTTCTTACATCCTTAAGCATAACTTTTTTTTTCCAGGATCGTGAGAATGCCCGAAAAATCCATGAATCAGCTGGACTGCGGTTCTTTGAAATATTTGTAGACGCGCCTCTAAACATTTGCGAAAGCAGGGATGTAAAAGGCCTGTACAAACGAGCCCGAGCAGGGGAGATCAAAGGTAGGAGGGACAGCTCAGCAGCACCATTGCCATTTACTTTGGCCCCCGACCCTTCCTGTCTGTCCCCAGAAACCTGCTGGAAGTTTCAAAAGCTGTTTTACAAAATTGCATATAGCATACACAACTTTTTATCCCACCATAATACTTTCAGTATGTCCGTGGGCTTAATAAAACGTGGGCTCATATTTTTCAAGAATAAACAACAGAGTTCAGGGAACTAATATGGGTGAGTATACGTGAGCGTGTGAGTAGGAGGAGTATGTCTGAGTCTTTCCATATTCTTGTCTTCTTTTTTGATTCTAACCAGCTGCAGGGAGCTTGGACTTTGCTAGCCAGATTTTGTGGATAATTTGGGGCTTTCTCTATTGAAAATACAGCTGTATATTTTCTCATGTACGGCTAGAGGTCAAGGATGGCTGGTTGACCTTTTCTGTTATAATCCGAATTCTCAGTTTAACACATTATTCCAACATCTGTTTTGCCTTATTGATTTAAAAAGATGATTCTGTCAGAGCAGATGTGATTTTCACCCATCTGCCTTGCAGGGTTTACAGGCATCGATTCTGATTATGAGAAACCTGAAATGCCTGAGCTTGTGCTTAAAACCAACTTGTCCTCAGTGAGTGACTGTGTCCAGCAGGTAGTGGAACTTCTGCAAGAGCAGGTGGGTACACTGGTCATCTTTTCATTTTCTTTTTTTGTTTTAATTTAATAAGATTATGAAAGAACATATATTTGCTGAAGCATTCTTTTTTAAGTTTTCATTTTAAATTGTTACCAATTCTGCCTCATTGCAGAACATTGTACCCCACACTATAATCAATGGCATCCATGAGCTCTTCGTGCCAGAAAACAAACTGGACCAAGTCCGAGCCGAGGCTGAAACTCTCCCTTCACTGTCAATCACCAAGGTAATAGGGTGCAGACTGGCCAGTGGGTATTAGGCTTAATATTAGTTGTTATAATCCATTTATAATTGCTCTTAATAATATGGGTGGTATGAATAAGGGAAATGCAATGTTCATAAAGAAAAGTGCTTCATTTTGTCAGTTTTTAAAAACCTCTTCTGTAATCAGATTTGCCACCAAGAGTTGCCATAGGGCAAGTGATCACTGCTGGGTACAGAGGCAGACTGGGAAGGTAACATCTATATTCCCATAGGACAATTTTACAGGGCTGCCTTCACACCTTCAGGATGCCAAGTTGTAGGCAAGAGATGTTGGCAGCTGCTGGCAGACTGCTTGTCCTGAATATAAGAGCTTCTTGGGCAATGGAGAAAGAATTGGGAGAAAACAACAAGCAATGTTGAACTGAAGTGACATGAATGCCTCAATCTTTTTCCACTCTGCAAATCCTACTCTCCCACCATTGGGGAGTGTCTGGTCTGAGGAGAGAGGGAGACAGCTTTGGTTGTGTTTATTTTACTTCCTGGGAGATTCAGATCCAACCCCAGCGGACCTCTCTGCTCATGCCTTGGCCTTGTATGTTAGTTGGTCCATAGAAGTTGACCATGTTTTCATTGGTACCTTTATTATCTATTAAAGCCTTGGACATTTTTATAAGAGACAGAATGAACTGAGAACCTGCTTCAGCTCATGAAGTCCCTGCATTCTAATAAGTCATGACAAATTTGTACACAGAACCCCTGACTCTATAAAATAAAGTCTGAATGTTCCAATGTTCTAGACTGATTAGAAACATAATTATAATTACACTATGAAATCATAGTTCCATTAACAAAATAGGCTTTAAGGTTTTAAAAAAACCCTTCAAATAATCTAATAAGTATTTTTTAGTTCTAAGGATGATAGGAAAGGTTTCAGAGCAGTGACCCAAGAGCTGGGTTTTAAAGGATGAATAGGAGTTTTCAGATGGGAAGGAGGATAGGCCTAAAACCACGTGTGTGTTTAGACTTCCCATCGACTGGCATTGCTGGTGAATAGGCTCCCAAGTGGGGAATAGGGAGAGGTGGAAGTCCCTACATAAGCCCCCTGGCCCAGAGCTTGAAGGGCTTTTAGTATCACGCTAAGAATTTTGGAATTTTATCTTAGAGTCAATGGTTTGCCCAATCCAATCAACTAAAGACAAGGGGAGGGGGGTACCTAGAAAAGCCAGATTTATCTTCTAGAGTGCAGGCCCTTTGTAGTACAGGCTTCCCCCGCTAGGTGAGTGTTATGGGAACCCATCTGTATCAGTGTGACCACAGGTGTTGTGAGAGGCTGTGAGAGGCTTCTGTGAATGTTTTTTAAAATTTCTTTCAACGCGTTTGCCCATTTCGCGATGGGCCATATACGAGCATACCTGCCTACACCACAACACTGTGTGTTCAGCAGTTTTTGACCAAAAACAACGTGACACCCTTCCTATCCACCCCATCTGGCCCCAAGGACCTTTTTTTGGTTTGTTTCCCTGGATGCAAAACGTCCTTAATGGGAAACATTTTGCTGAGGTGGAAGAGTTAAAACAAAAAATGGCAGAAGCACTAAAAGGCATCAAAATCCACGAGTTCAAAAACTGGTTTGAGCAGTGGGAAAAACGTTTCAATAGGTATATTGCATCAAATAGAGAAGATTTTGAAGGTGACTGAAGTTTAAACATGTAAGAATAAATACATAATTTTTTTTAAATATTTTATTTATTTATTTTTTAGAGAAGGAAGGGAGGGAGATAGAGAGAGAGAGAGAAACATCAATGTGCGGTTGCTGGGGGTTATGGCCTGCAACCCAGGAATGTACCCTGGCTGGGAATCGAACCTGGGACACTTTGGTTCCCAGCCCGTGCTCAATCCACTGAGCTACGCCAGCCAGGGCTAGAATAAATACATAATTTAAAAAAATAAATTCCATTTTGGGCGGTCCCCTGTCACGTAGTATGTATGGTGAGAAAATGTAGCCAACCCAGAGTTTTTGTGGGAAAAAAGAGAATGAACAGTGAATGTTCAACACAGTTGCACACCATAAGGATAGATGTAGCCTAAAGCGTTCATATAAATCATCTCAATTTGAAATCTTTTCACCACTGCCCCTTAGGAAAGTTCTAGACTCCAATTCATCTAGCCCCCACATATGGGAACACTAAAAACATTAAAGGTTCTGCCTTCATGCTCCCGTCAACTGAATAAGAAAGGACTGCCCCGGAGCCAGATGGCTGAACAACGGAGCTCATGGAAATGTTCACCTGCTTTTCCTGTTTTGCAGCTGGATCTTCAGTGGGTCCAAGTTTTGAGTGAAGGCTGGGCCACTCCCCTCAAAGGTTTTATGCGAGAAAAGGAGTACTTGCAGGTTACACACTTCGCCACCCTGCTAGATGGTATGGGTTTTTCTTTGTTTCTTTATCTTTATTATTATTATTATTATTATTTTGTTATTTGGCCAATTCAGTAGAGTTTCCCAAATCATGACAGTTTCTGTTTCCTTCTCGATCGGGGCATTCATGACAACCGCTGAAGGACCGCTACCACGATGTCAGGGCAAGGGGACTTGCTTTGGACTCAGACGTCCTAGCATCCCTGACGTACTTTTGCCACGTACGCTTGGGGCTTTGGAAAAGTCACTTCACTTGTTAGAATTTTAGTTGTTATGTCATCATTAACCTACCTTGTGTAAGTAAAGATTGATTCACCCAGTGGATTTCTAGACACTGTACAATTCTGACCGTTGATTTTGCTCATTTCCTTTCTTTTCTGTCAACTTTGCATCTCCAAATGGTTCAGAGCTTGTTCAAGAACACATTACCCAACCTTGGAAGAACTTTCCTTTCTTGCTACTCTTTATTATTAAAGAGAAAAATCTTTCTCAGGTTCTTCATAGGAGCAAGAAATGCCAATCTTTGGTTTGTAAATCTTACTGTGAAAACATTTAAATCACTTATGGAATGTCTGATTCTATTACATATAAGCTTCCATTTGAAGAAATTTACTGGCTATCCTCAAAGGATGATCGATTATTTAAAACCAAGGAACTGAAGTTTCCCTTGCTGTGTGGCAGATACCGGCCAGCAGTATCCATCTTTGCTGTGGATGCTCATCAAAAACATGAGAAAAACATACACAGAGACAACTAGGTCCTGTGGGGAAATAGGGACAGAACGGCTACTCTCTCTAGTGGAGAGCGTGCCCCGTATCCATTCCCAAGCAGATTTTTATTGAGAATACAGACTTGGTTTGGCAGAAAAGATCAAAAGAAGTAAGTGACTTACAAAGGCACAGACAGAACCCCCGCTGAAATTCTGGGCAAAGTTTGGGGTTTTATTACTACAGGACCTAAAAGGCTAGTCTCGTTTCCTGCTTGTGCCTTCAAATTCTAATCTAATAACATCCTCCAGTAAACAGATCTTACAGGATCTTGCATATTCTATGTCCCAGGCCTGATTACCCTGGGGGTCTACCGTTTCTGGTCTGGGCTGTACCGCCCCTGCTATTTCCACAGGCCTGAGTTAACAGAAACAAAGGCAGCCAGGAGACTTGGATTTCTCACATCTAAGAACAAGGACTCAGGCTTTGACAAAGCCGAGGGGGCAGGGGTTAATGTCCATCACCCCTTCATTTCCACAGCCCCGAGTATCTTCCCAGAAACCTCCACATAATCATGCCTGTCTTAGGCGTTTCCCTCCTTGGGAAATCTTACCCATCATTGGCTAACTGATCAAGCTTAGGAGGTTTAGGCACAGAACAGGCAGCGTTCATGCCAGGGAAATAAGTTTCTGTCTCCTTAGTGGCTCCTGGTCTGGAGGTCTCTCACTCAGCCTAAGTCACGGGGGGTTACAGCTTCCTGAGACCAGGCAGGGCAGTCCCCAACACCTTGCACACAAAGCCAAGAGATGGTTAAGCCCATTTCACTTCCACCAGCCCTTCGTTGGCCCTGGATGCTTAGAAGGCAGCCGCAGACAGTCAGAAGCGTTGTTGCCAGATGCTAGGACCCTCTGAACAATGCGGTTGACTCCACACACGTTGCTGACCTGCAGGGCACCGCTCACCTTCTGGGTTGCTCAGTAAGCCATCATTGCAGCAGCTGCTTCCCTTGGTGGATCCTAGAGTGTCAACATTCATGCCCATCCATGCAATACAGGGTCTGGCAGAAGTAATGCCTGCTTGAGTGTGGTTGGTAGGGTAATGATATGGGTGTACTAATTTATAGTTTCAATTTGAACATTTCACCTAAGATGTCATATGGTGTGCTTGAGTGTGATATTGTTATGTTACAGAATTGCATGCTTATGATTTTGTAGTGAAAGATTTATAATAAAACAGGGGTGTTACTTGTGCCAGACCCTTTATATTAGAATATCTTCATCCATTACACTCTAACAAGGGAGCATTAAGGCAGCTTTCTGGGCACAAACTGAATTGGCTTTTAGAGTACTGATCTGGTCAAGGTCGGAAACATGTGTTATTCAGAAAGCTTCCGGGCCCTTCTATGATCATTTCCTTCCTCGAACTGCCTGAGCTTATCAAATGGAACTTGTCTGTTACAAGACTGTGGCGAGCGGCTGATACGTGGGAGGGATGGTGGTCAAGTCACCCTGGATTTGTAATGCCGAGCGGGGCTCGAAGCTTTTAGGGAGAAAAAAAAATCAAATCAGATGTTCCTTCTTGGGAAGGATGTTCCCATTTTGGGCCTGTGTCTCTGCCTGTGGAAGGGGGCATCGAGCCAGAATGAGAGCTCAAAAAAAGGCTCTGGTCAAAATGAGCCCTCTCCCCTCGTTCCCTTTATCAGCTGTTCCACTAATAGCTGTGGCTGATAATGCCCCCAAACCTGAGACCTTCACCTCTCAGAGTAAATTGCATTCCCAAAACACTTGATTTTCTTACAACTTACCTTAATAATTATAATGCATATCTGTATAACACGTCACTGTTTGCAAAGCAATTTCTCAGGTATTATTTCATTTGATTCTCATGGAAGCCCTGGAAGACAGGCAACTATTTTATCCACTTTACTGATGAGGAAACTGACCTCAGGTTAAGCACTTTGCTGAAGTTCATGCCACTGGTAGGTGAGGGGCCCAAGACCAGAGACCAGAGTCTCCTGACTGCTGGCCCAGGGCTCTTTCCGTATCTGGCTGCTCTCCAGATATCTTTTCCAATAGCAGTTAGTAGGTAGGGATATTTGTACAGCAGACATTTATAGGCTGACCTTTACCTCAATGTCTTAACTGCAACATATGCTGAGCACAAGCTGCATCACTCAGCAGCCAGCCTGGAACAAGAGGCTGACCACGAGCATATAAACCAGAGCTGTGGCCAAAAGAAATGTGAACCACCTTGAAAGCGAGGACCGTATTACAGACACAGGACTGTAACCTTTGACTAGTATTTGTTCTTTAAAGAAAGATACCAGGGAGGTGGGTGTGAGTGCAGAGGTCAATGTTAATAGAAACCAGGGTTTCTTAACTTGGGGTCTAGGACCTCAGCATGTGGGGACAACAAAAACCTACAGCAGGCAAATTGTGTTTTAAGAAAGGGAGAAGGAGGCATTTTTTTTTTTGGTCATCTAGATTTTGATGGATTCTAGAAGGAGTTTATGATCCAAAAAGATGAAGAATAGCTAATGCAGATAATCCATCTAGACAATTGAAACAAAATCTCTTGCCCTCCCTCTCACACCATTTCAGTTTCATTTTATGGTGTTCTTCAATTTGCAAAACATGTTGCTTAGCTTTTTCTCATTTGGTTCTTAACTGCCATGAGGTAGTTGAAGCACTTATTACTGCTCTCCCTTCCCATGTAATCCCAGTGTTTATCACGCCCTCCCCCAAGCCCACCTGTCTGAGGATACAAACAAGGTTACTTTCCCATTAACTGAATCCTCTAGTTCCCAGCCCCTCCCTGCTCATATAGAAATCCCGGTTCTTTCCAAAGCCTACCCCCAAGGGTTTGTGGGAATTCTTAAGAGGTATTCCCTGCATTCCAGAGTTAGGCCCATGGCCCTATGCCACTTGCCACGTGGATCTCAGTGTCTCTCTGCACCCACAGAGATGCAGATCTTGCCCAGTCACTCCAGTCACTACTGTTCATGTACCCAGAGGGTTGTGGCAGTTCACGTACTTTTTTCTCAAGTGGGAAGGACTCTCTTACTAGGTTGCTTGAGCCCCACACTGTTAGAGAATTGAGTGAAAAAACTCTTGCAATCTGTACTCTCGCCTCTTTATATATGCCAGTGGGGCTATGTGGGGGGCACAGTAAGACCAGATGTCTTACTATCTCCATAATCTTTACCCACTTCCAACTGATACGGCCTATGTCTGGGGCTCTGTGCAAGACTCCTTTCAGCCCTGTGGGAATTCTCTGCTGACTCCACCATCTACTGCTGCAGCCGGAGTCCGCTGGGCATGCCTGTGCAACCCCAGGTGTAGTCAGGGTTCAAAATTCCTCACACCCTTCAGAAGCCTCCTCAACTCCTATGGAAATCCATTAATAAAGACAGATACCAGAGATAATATACCATTTGTGCTCTTGATTGGTGGCCCCTGGGAGGGTCATATCATGGCAGTTTTATGAGACTTGATCATTTTATGCTAAGTCTTCTGTGGCTCTGAGTTTTCAGTGCAAGGCTTGAGGACTTTCCTTCTATACTGCCAGCATTTAGTTTGCACTTAATGTGGTCTGACTGTGGCTTGTGACATGGGGCATCACATTTAATCTGTGCAACACTACTGTGAAGATGTGCATATGAGAATAGAAAGGTTAAATAACTCGAGTGAAATATCGATTCAAACACAGGTTACCCTGGACCCAGCATTTGTGCTCATTCTACTGAGCATATTTTCACGCCCTCTAAACATCTAGGATTCTAAGATGTCCTAAAGAAGTTTGCTTCTGTATCTTCTCCCAAAGCCTGGTTTGGAACTGTTTGTAATACTTACACCATCACTGATGTGCAAGAGACAACTTCTTTCCAAAGTTGGAGGAGCCACTGACATATGTTAAAATTATTTTTAAAACATATAATCATCTGCAATAATGCTTTTGGATTTTGAATAATGTTCAGTGCAAATCTGCTTTCACCAGGTTTTTGCTCTCATATATTCTGTTTTCTAAAATAAGAGTAGCAAAGAGCACAGAGTTTTTGTTGTATGTGTGAAGTTTTATAATAGGAATCTATTCCTTGACATTACTTTAAGATTATTTTGTTAGAGAGCTGAAAACATGTTTCTTAATTGTGTTTGCATTTTTCTAGACATGGTCCTTTTTGGTATATACTTTAACTTTCCAAGTACCCCTTGGAAAGAGGTAGTTCGATTATTATAAGTAGATATTTTATATTAATTAGAAATGGTTGACAACCTAACTAAAAAAATCCAAATGAACTAGTTGAACTTGCTAACAGTTCATGATCCAACCAGTTATAATAGGATAATGCTATATTCTTCAGCTGACTGGAGTCCAAATAACAGGACATTTCTGGATCAGATGCAGCTGTTGTTTATAATGTTGTATTTGGCTGACAAAAGTAAATTTGTTTCTAAATTGTTGCATATTTTGTTCCTGAGATTTTAAAAAGTTTATGACATTCTCCACTACTTACTTCTACTGAGTGTTGGTCTTTGGGTAGTTTCACAAATCTGGAATTTTTTTCCATAGCATTTATTAAACATTTTTAATTGCAGTAGGACAAATCAATTTTAGATGCAATTTAAAGTGGATGCACCTGGGTAGGTTGTGAGTGATGTACTTGTTTGTGACGTGTGATTATACATGAATTTAATGTAGAGCTGTGATGACTGACAGTTACGAAACTAGGAATAAACACGTACTTGCTGTGACCATGAACTTCTGTGCTGTCCCAGGATGAAAAGCTTAAATTCTGAAGATATCATTTATCTTTGGTATTGTTTTCCCCATTGTTGTTTTTTTCTTTAAAAAGCCAAGATAAACAATAAAAAGTACTGTAGTTTCTTTCCTAGAAACAGCCCCAAACAGCTAGTAAGTGGATCTAAGAGGTTAAAACATAAGGCTTAAAATTATTTAAAGCAGAAGCAAAATTATTCACTTGAACATGAAGTTATGTGTTGGACTAACCATGGCTAAAAAATCACAGTACTCTTTTCTAAAATGAGATATATTGCAATAAAACAACCTAGGCAGTTCCCACCTGAGGTACAAGCTGGGAAAAGGCTAAAAGCCCGAGTCAGTTTAAAGGTATAGAAAATGTTTCAGCAGAGAGTTAAGTTGTTGGATACGTTTTGTATCAGAAAAGTGAGAAAGATAATAATGAGGATACCACAGTAAATCTGTGTATACCTGTGTGGAGTTGTAGCTACAGGTGGCATTATTATTCACTAGAACTTCTTTCCTCAACATCCCACAGCTTAGCTCTCTTGCCCTGCCACTCTTGTCAGGAAGTGCTGGCTCCTGGGTTTGGACTTCCACTGAAAGCCAAGACAAAGGTGGGTCACGTGCCGCCCTGGGCAGGAACCCGTGGGACTCAAGGAAGTGGCTACAACAAGAAAGCGGAGTATCCCTTGGATCCCAGCCCAGAATAATTGAGGGAAGACACCACTGAAAGCGTGCTGCAGGCAGAGCCAGGCTTCCTCCAACATCCTGCCCTTCTTTTGCTTTGCATTTTGCTTTACTTTATTTTGGTCATGTCGCTTTTTATAAGCAGTGTGGTCAGTAATCCACAATCAACAGAAAATATGATTTCTAACTAGATCATCAGTAGCCTTGAAGGTGTTGTTAAGCTCTCTCTTTTTTTCTCAAGGAGACTAGACAATTGGTTTAATTATCTTTCAACATAAAGCTGAACAAGGCTTTACCGTATGCTTCCTCCCAGCAACCCAGGGGAATACATATTATTTATTACACCAGTTTTCAAATGAGGAACTTGAGCAGAGAAAGTGAAGGACACAGGTAGCACAGGGAGAGCACCTGACTGAGTTCAGTGTTCTCTGCGCAGGGCCTGGCCTGCTCTATGGCCTATGAACTTTGAAACAAAGGAGTTATTAGAATGACAAAACCCATTACTTTCTGTGCACAATGTCTTCTTCCTGGCATATAAGGGCTCCCAGAGCAGGTTCCAGGGTTTTATGATAGGGTTTCTTTATTGCTGGCAGTTGCTTTCTGGATCTTGTGACATTCTTTGTGTCCTAGGAACTTCTAAAGAGAATTTAAAAGGTGTAAGTGAGAAGCCTGGAGACTTCGGCTTTAAAGCTACCAGAGAGGGCGTTTTGCCTCCAAAACAGAACTCAGATCTCAGATCTTTCATCCTACTGGAGGCATTCCAAATGTTGGGTTTTGAAAATTAGGTTGAAAATACTTCATTAATTTGTGGTACATTCCTCAAATCCAGACGTAACCGCATTTGTCCTCCCCGGAGTTCAGTGTTTTCTCGCTTCATCTTCCTGTCATTTCCTTCTGAGTCTCAAACCCTCGAACTCCCCAGAAACCTCCCTAATGTTCTGTAGTGCCTCCATTTTCTTACCTGTCAGTACGACTGAGGTATTTGTTAGACTCTTAGGGTGTCATTACAGAAGGGGAAGACAGTTGTGGGGTTTTCTTACGTTAATCGTCCGGCTCCGTTAAAAAATGAGATGTTTCCAGGGTGCCAAACTGCATCCTTTTAAGCCCCAAACTGAAAAACAACTACACCTTTTAACCATTTTATCTAGAAACATCTTAAAAAACGTTTTGTCTAAAAAAAACCAAGTAACTTGTTATTCACTTACTAAAGGAAAAAGGAAACTTTAAAAACTGACCCTGCCCACATTCGTTATACCTGTCGCTAAGCTGAGCTCTGACGTGACTGACGGGCCCTGAGGACTGGGAGGCCAGTCCGACTGTTGGCCTCACACTTAAGGAACCCTCATGAGTCTGTATTTTTAGTTACCATATTAATGTGTTTTGTTTTGTTTTGTTTTTTTTCAGAGAAATAGGACAGAGAGAGAGGAAGGGAAGGATGAGGGAAGAGAGAAAAATCCTTCCTTCCTTCCTTCCTTCCTTCCTTCCAAGGAATCAATTCAGGCAATTGCAGAGGCTTAACAAGTTCAAAATCTTCAGAGTAGGCTGACAGGCAATAGACCCAGGGAAGAGTCACAGTTCAAGTCCAAAGGCAGTCTGTATTACCAAATTGTACACCCGAAACCTCTGTAGTTTTATTAACCAATGTCACCCCAATAAAGCCAGTAAAAAAAGAAAAGAGGCGGTCTACTGGCAGAATTCCCTCTGCTTCCGGAGAGGTCAGACCTTCTCTATGACAGCCTTCCGCTGAGTGGATGAGGCCCACCATGGCATGGAGGATAATATGCTTTACTTAGAGTCTACTGACTTAAATGTTAATCTCATCTAGAAATACCTTCAGAGAAATGTTTGAAATTCAGAATAATGTTTGGCTAAACATCTGGGTACTGTGACACATAATTTTATGTTGACACATAAAATTAATGATTCTAGTTTGTTGTGTGGTGTGCTAAGAAGCCAGAACATCCGGTTTCCTCAGATACCTTTTAAAGTAAGAGACTCCGCATAAAGGTGAAAGGTGCTCCCTCTCCAGAGAAAGTGCCTGAGCTGTAGTCACTAAATGTTATGTCTGCTTTCACTCCACCCTGTTTCCCTGACTGATGCTTCTCAGCTGTGATTGAGCTAACACGACTCAGGATTCCCAGAGAAGTCTTTTCAAAAACATTTAAAGGTGATGCTGTGCCAGCACCACAGCAAACGAACAACATCAAGAGGGCTCCTTGTTTGGGGTTCTGTTGGTTATATTGTCTGGGGTTTTTTTTCTTTTTCAATTCAATTTATTAGCAGTGCAGTTAGAGACTTGCCAATGGTGTTACAAGGTTCATTTTCAAGAAGGACTGGAGGTTTTTGGATTGGTTTGGTTTGACAGCCTTTACTTTGTTTAATTGGAATCTTAAAGACTTTAAGCTTCCTAGTGCATTGAGGTCAGGACCAAGCTTTAAGAAGGGAGCCCAGAAGGGAGGCGCCCCAGGCTTGTCATCCGAATTACGGAAGCAACCTCTGTGATTTGAAACTGAGCCCATTTTTCACAAATGCCCCGTCTCCTGCTTTGAGATGCCCTGCAAGCGCTTCTCATCACAGACTCTCAGGAAACTTGGGTGGAGCAGGCCACCCAAACGTGCTGCATTGAGGTCTCGGGGCCTGCTGCAGGGACTGCTTGGAAGGGACACTGTACACATCTGAGTCACCCTTACAGGACAGCACACATATGGGTGCGTGTATCCCATATTCACGTACCATGTGGCTCTTTCTACAGACGGAGTGATCAACCTGAGCATTCCCATTGTGCTGCCAGTCTCTGCGGACGATAAGACGCGGCTGGAAGGGTGCAGCAAGGTTGTCCTCACACACAGTGGACGGAACGTGGCTATCTTGCAAGACCCTGAATTCTATGAACATAGGAAAGAGGAGCGGTGCTCTCGTGTGTGGGGGACCACATGTGCCAAACATCCCCACATCAAAGTAAGTTGCCAAACCTTTGGAAAGGTTTCCTTGATCTCTTCCAAGTTGGGACAAAAATAGTTCTTTTCAATTCCTTCATGAAGAACTTAAAAAACTGTGGCTAGATGGAAGAATACATTTCTAAGGGAGGTTTTGCGGGCTTTGCTTTGGAGATCTTTTTAGAAAGGGGCAAAGAAATGTCTTTATTTTGAAGGATGGCCTAAATGATCTCTTGTGTCCTTAGACCCAGTGATGTCTGGGTCTCTGAGCTAAATGGGAAACAACTGTGCCGGGTAGATAATTTAGTTTGGCATCATGAGTAACCGTAGCTATGCACAAAACCACAGCCAGACCTTGCAGTCCTGTCCATCTTGAAAATTCACAAAGGAAGTCAATTTCTTCATACAGAAGGGTCCAACCAACCACTGGAAAGAGACTCAGAGTTCACGTTCTGTGGCCAAGGCTGGGGTCAGTGACATCCTTTCAGGGAACAAAAATCAGTACAGATATTGGCAGAGTTTCCAGAGGGGAAAACACCACATTTTCATCAGTGGTTTTTTTTTTAGATTGAAAATGTATTCATCTGACTAGGATCATTTCAAGTCTGTCCTGCCTAAATGCAAAATAGGCTAAAACTCCTCAGATTCCTTTACAGTTTCTAATTGTTTTGGGTGGTGGGGTGGGAATGGCGGGTATTATGGGATTGCTGGAGGTAATTCATTTCCCATAAAGAAAAATGTGTGAAATTGATTCCAAAAATCATTTCTCATCTGAGATGAAAGCATTGGGGTTGCAATTTAAAGAGACATATACTGCTAATTTGATTTGTCAAATTCCCTAGCTGGGGTAACTAATTTTTAGAAAGGTCACAGGAGGGGGCCAGCCTGAGCCCCAGGAGACCCTTAAAAGAGCATCTTCTCTCTGGGTCTCAGTGTCCTCATTTATAAAAGTTGGGGTCCAGACTCAAAATAACATTCAAGATCTCTTTCAGCCCTGAGACCCTGTAAAATGGATGTTTAAATAAACCTGTCTGAATTTGTCAGGAAAACTTATGTCTTATTTTTTTCCCCAGTTGTGAAATGTTGCAATATAGGAAGGGCCTTTTCAAGGCCTCTGGACACAGCCCCTGATGCCAGAGGTCAGTTGGCCGCAAAGCAGCTTTTTGTTTATTGGACCCAACTGTCCACCCTGCAGATAAGCATCTTTAATCTTAACGCACATCCAGCTCCAAGCCATCTGAGCAGTTTCTCTCCCAGTGGCTGGCAGACTGTCCTGGAAACAGCTGTATATCTGGTGCTGTTGGAGGAACTATGTTCTGGGTCTTAGTCTATGGCTGCTTCATCCCTTTCCCGATAGTAATCACATAGGTTTGTGATTTCATCTTCGATCAGTGCCCTAAGGAATGGTTGTCTGTGTTCATGCCTGCTGACGTAGTTTCACCCATTGGGCCTGACATCCACGAACCAAACAGAACCTAAGGAAGCTCTTAAACAATTATTTCTCTTTATCTTGTCTTGCCACCTATGTTGGCAGTTGAGGCTTAGACTTTCTTAGAAGCCAGGGAGAATGGTGATGTGACTGTGACCTGGACAGTATAGTCAGTGACTCTCTGCCATAAGGTTATTAGAGGGACTCTGGAAACATTCCCAGTGAGCTGTCCGGTGGTGAGAAATGGGCCATGAGTGACCAGAGAGAGAAAGCCACTGACCCTGTACACACTGCACTTGGATGATGACTGTGTGTTTACCTGACTCGCAACATTTGGGTTTTATTGGGAAGGAAATTCTGCATTTTTTTAGTACCTTGAAATTCACATAATACTTACATACCTCTCTTTTTCAAAAATCCCAAACTTTCCGAAAGTAATTTCCATGTGGCACTGGGAGTGATTTTGCATGGAAAAATGGTCAGAGTCATTAGGGAAAGGATCTGCCCCTGTTGCATTGCTCCTCACTGATGTCACCTTGACCTTCCATTCAAGTCAACCCAACCCTCTTTCTTGTCTCTAATATGAAACCATGTGACATGATCGCAGATGAAAGCATGAGGAGCAGGTGAAACTTATTAAACTAATGTTGGAGGAGCCCTGTTGCCCTTCATCCATGGCTTGCAAGGCTTTTCCAAACAATAATTATTTCTCACAACGCTCTTGTGAAGTAGCTAAGAATCACCACTCCTGTTTTACAGATGTAGAAACCAAGAGAACAGGGTGTGACTTCCCTTCAGCCCTGCAGTGAAGACCATACGGTCACTTCCATCATCAGAGCCACCCAGGGAGCTTTAACAATTACCCGTGACTGGATCCTGTCCTCACAGGGTTTAACTGCCCTGGTCAGTTCTGGGTTTTGGGGGCGAAAGTTCCTTGGGACTCTACGGTACCGCACAGGCTGCGAACCACTGCATTGGACATTACCTGGGGTGCTCTCCTGTGTGGGTCCCCCTGGACATATCCTGCAAGTGCCTCACACTCCACAGGGGCAACCTCGCCCTCGGCCTGATTCCTTTTCTGTGTCCTCCAGCTCAGTGAGTGGCTCCCCCACCCCAGCGCTGGCCATGTCCCAAGCCTGGATGTCATTCTTACTTCTGTCGGCTCCCTTGTTCAGTCAGTTAGCCATCAATCCTAATGTTTCTTCCTCTTGCACTGCTTGAATCTGTCCACTTCTCTTCTGTTCCCGCTTGTGCCAGGACACTTTGTTTCTTCCCTGTCTCTTGCCTTTCTCCTCTCTGATCCTTTCTCCATCCTTTCTCTAGAGGGAACTATTGAAGCTTTATTTGGGAATTCTTTGTGAAGATATGACTCTATACTACCTCTTACCACCACCTCTGAACATATTCTCTCCTCCCCCATTCTCCCCACTCATCATCCTCTCTTACTTTGCACATGCTAGTCCCTCAACCTAGGACACTGTTCTATCACCCCTGCCTCCTCACCTTTCCCATTTAAGAAGTTGGTCTTACTCCCATGACCTATGAACCTGACTGGGTGTCCCTTCTTTGTCCTTTCAGAGTACTTTGCCTTTGTCCTGTCCACACCTGTCCCACAATATTGTTACCCATTTGCTCTTCTGTCAGCCCACAAAGACTGCCAAACCATGAGATCAAGGACCACATCTTGATCTGTCTTGATCACCATCAAATTCCCAGCAGCAAGGCTGGGGCGGAGCACATAGTAAGTGCTGCCTGGATGGAGCATGAGCAGAAGATGCCTCTGAAGGTAACACTGAAACATCAGTGTGGAGACAGCTGATGAGGGGCAGTGAGTGCAATGGGAAGAGAGCATTGTTTGGAGGAGTCAGCTATTTGCACTTGAATTCTGCCACCTCTCTTCTGCAAAGCTGCTTTCTCACCTGAAAATGAGGGTATTTGGTTCCCAAGTTCCGAATCCCATCACTATGAGAGAGATCACAGAAATGAATATTCTCCACTTATATAACATTAGTTTCTCTTCTCAACTCTGTTCTCTGAACTCTTTCATCACGACCTTCTTTCCTGAAGTCACCATTTCTCCCTTTCTTTTGCTTTTTTCTCTCTCCTCTGCTCTCCCCTTTTCATTTGACCTCTGGACCTTCCTGTCCTCAGGTGCTGCCCTCCTGATTAGCGTGTTCCTGTTTCCTCTCCAGGTTGTCTCTTTCAAGTCTTCCTCTCCTTGACCTTTGTGAGCCTATTCACCTCTTCACAGCCTTCCTCCTAGTGTTTGAAGTCATCCTCTCCTCCTTCCTGCATTCCTGCTGTCTGCAATTCTGGGCCCAGTTCCCCTGTTGCTCATTTCACTGTGTGTGTGTACAGTTCTGCAAACTCTCTAGCTGTGTGTGGTCCCTTGCCTCTCTTTGGCAGGAGATGGGGACTTCTAGGAAATTAGGCAAAGCCACAGTTCTGGGGACCATTTGATCACCTTGGGGAGAGAAATGCCCTTTATTCCTCTCTAACCTAGTAAAACCAAAAACATCATTTTAGCATTACCCTTGAGATAGGCACATTTTAGGCTACATAGTGCAGGAAATCGGTTCAATGTTGCCTTGCAGCTAGAACCAGTGTAGGGTGGACCCCTAGTGTCTAGAATGAGTTACTACACTCCCAGGGATTTGGGATCTACGGATTTGGGATCTTAAATCCTTCAAAAGTTTATCTATGGTCTAACTTAAGCAATGAGGAGAAAGTAAATGTGTGGGTATAGGTATTTGAAAATATTCTCGTTAAGGGGTTTTTCTGAGCACAGAGTTTCGAAAGGTGGCCATGAAAACATAACCAAATCCCTTGCACAATCACCCTTTCTCCACCCAGGGCTTCTCAGCCACAGCACTGCTGAGGTTGGGCTGGATAACTCCTTGTGGGAGGGGCTGTCCTGTGCAATGGCCTTTCCACACTAGATGCCAATAGCATACCCTCCCCACCCGTCATGACAATCAAAATTGTCTTCAGATATTGTCAAATGTCACCAGGAGAGGCAGACTCACCCACTATTGAGAACCGCATTCCCTGCACCCTTGTGGAATGCAAGTCATTGTGAACCCAGCATCTGACCATGACAGGTAGTGTGAACCAGAGCTACGCCCTCATCACCTTGGTGTCTTCTGACCAGCTGTTGGCGATCAGTCAGCTCTGCCCCCACTCTTGCCTCCCTCTCCTCCGTGACATTTCAGATGGCCACACTGTCCTTGGGCAGGGCAAAGAGCAGTTGTGGAATCCAACCACATGAAGGGTCGGACGACCATTATTTGACTGAGGAGTAAGATTTCTGTGTTTGTCCTGATGCTTGAGTACAGATGCTTGCTCTGAGTCATAGTTGATTGCACCGCAACATACTTAAGTTTATAGAAAAAAACGAGGGTTGTCATGTTTTTCTTTTGTGTGAGTTCATTGAGACACAATTGACATAATACGCTGTGTAAGTTTAAGGTGTAGACATAAAAACCATGGTTTCATGCCACCGAGTGGGTGGTGATGCCTGAACTGTGTGCTGTCAGGCCCGAGGGCGTGCTCCCGCCCTGCAAGGGGAGTGCTGACCCTCTCTCCCCGACCCGGGTTTCTTTTTCATGACTTTGACCATTCCTCACACCTCGTGTGGGTCCCACAGTAGAAATACAAACAGGGGCCCACATACTACCTTTAAAAGTTACATATATAACTAATAAACTTAAATTTAAAATTTTCTACCTTTCTACTTTGACAACTATGCTTTGGTAACAATCTGGAAGGCCAGGTACAAATTTAGGCATTTTGGTTCTGCACCAGAATATAGGAGTGTGCAGAGTCGGCTCTTGGTCTGCAGCGAACCTGTCCCTCCCTTTCTGTGCTTGGCCTTGACCCACTTCATGAAGGCCCCCTGGGTCTATTTTGTTTCTCTTTTAATTTCTAAATGGAAAATGATAGATATAACCTGCACAAACAAAAGCTCTTTGATGGTTCTCAATAAATTTTAAGAGTATAAAGGGGTTGAGGGACCACAAGTTTGATAACTACCATGCTAGAAACGCTGAAGGACTCCAGGCAGTTTTTCAACAGTAACCCAGGACTGGTCCAGAAGGAGAAAAATTTTCAGATAAATAGAAATCAATATTATTTACTAATTTTAATCATTGTTTTTTCTAGATGGTGATGGAAAGTGGGGATTGGCTGGTCGGTGGAGACCTTCAGGTGCTGGAGAGAATCAGGTGGAATGATGGGCTGGACCAGTACCGCCTGACCCCTCTGGAGCTTAAACAGAAATTTAAGGAAATGAAAGCTGGTATGTAGGCTGGCTCCAACGCCTTTGTTACTACTCCTTCCCACCCTCTGATTACAGAATTAAGAATGTCAGGAACAGCATGTTTATAGTATTAAAAAGACGGAAACATCTTCTATCGATATATTTGTTGATATGGAAACAGTTTATAAAGTTGAATTACAGCCATACACTGGAATACTATCCAGCAGTTAAAAATACACACCAACACAGAAGGATACCCAAAGTATATTTAGCAAATGAGAAAGCACCTTGAAGAACCTTATGTATAACGTAATTTTGGAAAACAAAATAAAATACAATAACTTTTTTTAAAAATCGCGATGCTATTTCTGTGTCTAGAAGCAGGAATGTCTCCTGCAGCACCTGCCTCTTGGGGGTGGAGCTGAATCAAGGGAAGAGGAAGATTCTCACTTCCCATATTTTGAAAAAGAGAGAGGAAAAGAGATAGGATTATGGATTTTTATATTCTGTTTTGGACTTTTTTATATTTCCCAAGTTTTCATAATGGCTATGTATTATGTTGTAAACAGAAATAAAAATTAAGGTTCTCAGGTATCCATCACTAAGTGGAGCAGGTTGTTGTTTTTTAAACTGATTTTAGAGAGAGGAAAGTCAAGAGAGAGAAAACTCAATTTGTTGTTCTTGTCTGTGCCCTGACCAGGAATCAAACCTGCAGCCTTGGCTGCATAGTGGGACAATGTCTAACCAACTGAGCCACCAGGCCAGGGCCATAAGTGAAGTAGTTTTGAAGATTTCCTTAAAGAGAAGATGAAACTTATTTTATATCTCTAGATTGTTGAGACCTTGCAGAGGCCCCAGAAAATGCCCCCCATCGTTATTCACCTCCTGGGGAAGGGGGGACTGGAGCAGGAAGCAAGAGGATGAGGCGGGTAGGCACCCACCTGAGCCTTGGTTTGCCGCAAAGGTCCTGGCAACCTTGTTTTCTTTTCCGAATCAGGCTCTCCCTCGGGAGCTTCCTGCCTCTGTGTCCTGTGTAAGCAGTCTGACATTAGCAGGTACCTTTGGAGTGACACCCCTAAAGACCCAGGTGGATTCTCCAGCTGATAATCAAAAACAACTGGATATAATGAATGCACTGAACAATACATATAGCTGTGTCTTTCCTTTCTGTTCCTGAAGACAAGTAACGCTGCATTTCTTTGACCTTGGCTTTTATGTTTCCCGTGCCCAGATGTGGTGTTTGCCTTCCAGTTGCGCAATCCTGTGCACAATGGCCACGCTCTGCTGATGCAGGACACCCGCCGCCGGCTCCTGGAGCGGGGCTACAAGAACCCAGTCCTCCTGCTCCACCCTCTGGGGGGCTGGACCAAGGATGACGACGTGCCCCTGGACTGGCGGATGAAGCAGCACGCAGCTGTGCTTGAAGAAGGGGTCCTGGATCCCAAGTCCACCATTGTTGCCATTTTCCCATCTCCCATGTTGTATGCTGGCCCCACAGAGGTGGGCAGTTCCCTGAGCTGGGTTATGGGCCTCAAAAGCACAGGCTCCAACTTTATATACAGAAGCCAATGAGTCTCTTGGCTCCTTCTTCATCATGAGCAGATTCTGAAATCTGGTCTCTCTTCTTTATCCAACTTAATTATGTTTCCACTTAGTGCTTATAAAAGTGCTAGGAACATCAAATCAAGCCTGTTATACACTGCCTTTGAGAATATAGAAGGTGGCATGTAAATGAGGTGAATAATGCAGGTTAACTGGTTTACAAGGCAAGTGGTATCTAACCTAATGTTGTGTCCAAACTTCCAGTTACTCTGATTCTCCATGATCTGTGAACTGCATTAGTAGCCCATGGAGACTGTGTCTGTAAAAGCTTAGCTATCTCCCTTTCGATCATGCAGTGAGCCTATCAAACAGAGACCTTCTTTGTCCCACCGTACCACCAGTGGAGGGGATTTGAACAAGTTTGCGGGAAGTATGATGATTAGAAAGGGTCTCAACCCTTTGGAATGCCCCAAACTGAGTTTAACAAATTAATTCTCTTCAACCAGATCAAAGCTTCAGGCCTCCTAGTCTCCTCTCCATCCTCTATATTTCTATTGGAGCTATAAAGAGGACAATTCATTTTGAAATTCCATTGCTGTGTTGAACTGGAGTCACCGCCTGCATATGAAAGGCAATTAGCTCATTCTTGGCAGTCAGATAAGAGACAGTGAAGTTTGTAATTTCCTTTAAACTGTGATTTATTTTGAATAGGGAAGTAAAACACACAGTTCTGTAAAACAGTAAGATCTGAGTGTTCCTGGTCTTGCAGGCCTGTTTGGGGAGATTAGGAAATATAACCTCAGGTTCTAAGAGGGGGTATTCTGACCTTCAAAGCCCGTTCTCCCCAGCATAACCAAGCACGTGGAGAAGAGAGCTTGGAGCCTTTAGACACCTCACTGAGTTTCTTGCAATTATTAGTTGATCCAAGTGACTGAATTACTTTTAAAAAAGAATAAAGGTGTAAACGGGGACCCCCAGAACTGGCCAGTGATGACCAGCATGTCTTTTATGTGCTGTTTTCTAGGTCCAGTGGCACTGCAGGTCCAGGATGATTGCGGGGGCCAATTTCTACATTGTGGGCCGGGACCCTGCAGGAATGCCCCACCCTGAGACCAAGAAAGACCTGTATGAACCCACTCATGGGGGCAAGGTCCTGAGCATGGCTCCTGGCCTCACCTCTGTGGAAATCATTCCATTCCGAGTGGCTGCCTACAACAAAGCCAAAAAAGCCATGGACTTCTATGACCCAGAAAGGTAGGTGTTCAAAGGAAACTTCTGTGATCTGTACACCTGGAACATCGAAGCAAAATTCTGGCCCTTTGGAGAACTCCAGTGCACCTCCACATGCTTCTAACTGGAATGGGCGTGCCTCGAAGGCCAAGACTTGGCCTTACACATTTTGTGTTCCATAAAATTGTAACACAGCCCCATAAATAGAGTAAATGGTCCATAAATATTTCTTTTTTAACATACACTTTTTGAGCATCAGGACTGCGTGCCTGGCATATTAAGTAAAAGGGTGTCCACACAGGAAGAGGTTTTAACATTACGGTGTACTCACCATGGTCAGAGCCCAGAGAAGAAGGCTGAGCAACAGGAGACACTCCCCATGAGCAGCGTGGACCCAGAGTAAACAGTGAGAGCACAGCTGCCATCATTTCCCCTTCTTCTGCAAGTTCCCTTACTGAGCTGAGGATTTAGCAATTTCCATTTTAGAAGACACAGCATTTTACAGAAGGAAAAAATGTGGCCTCAGAACCCATAACATAGTTCAGGAAGCTTTAAGGAAGACATTATTTACCTAAGAGGAGTTCTTTGTTCCCACCCTGTGACAGGCACAGCGAGTATGACTTCATCTCAGGAACCCGAATGAGGAAGCTGGCCCGGGAAGGAGAGAATCCCCCAGATGGCTTCATGGCCCCCAAAGCGTGGAAGGTCCTGACAGATTATTACAGGTCCCTGGAGAAGAACAGCTAAACAGCCCCGAGTTTCTCTCTCAAGTGCTCTTTGGTTCCCTTTTCTATTTTTGTGATCAGATGCTTCATATCCAATTGTTTCTCAATGCCTGATTTTAGAGTTTTATAATGAGGTAAAAATTGTGTCTAAACTTTAACATCAACTTCCATACACATAGAAAAAAGTGAAACTGAAGACCAAATCTTAGCAGAGGAAAGCAATATTGGTATCATTTTAGAATGAAATTAATTGTATTGTCTACTGTGTCTGAGCAGGTAGGCCCCACAGTTCTTAAAGCTCTGACCATGTGTCTTGTTTACTTGCCAAGAAGTAAAGCATATTTTCTAGCTTAAGTTTTGCCAACCTACACTCTCCCAGTGTTACACACCAGCAATTAAATAAATCAGAAGAGCAGCAGCCTCTTCTGCACAGCTGACAAAATTTCTTACCTGGAAGAGGTGTACTCATGTTAAGATTCTTCCTAATATTTCACCTCATGCTGTATACAGTCTTACTGCTTAATCTCTTATACACTGAAGGATGACCTGACTGGAGAAACCAAATGTGTGAAAATGTGAATTTAATCTCAGAGATCTATGCAACCTACTTATGGCACTGAAGTTATATTATCTAATAAGAGAAGTCTTACAGCACTTCTGTGAATAATGTAACTTCAATTAAATAGTGCCTTTTCATTAAACAGCGTAGAGTGCTTTGATGACAGATTTCCACCCAGGACTCAGTCTGGCAATATTGTGGAAAGTTAATTTTCCTCCTCTTTGCTGTGGGCATTGTGTCCTGTGGAGAGGCTGTGCCTACAGACTGCAGCAGCAGCAGCTATCACTGAAAACCATTCACACCACCAGGCTAGTGAGCTGCTAGAACTGGAAAAGACCTCAGAAAACACTGAATCCAACCCGTTCACCTGACAGGTGACCAGACTAAGATGATGTACAAGCATGTGCTTTGTGAGCTGCTGAGCACTGCAACAAAACATAAAACTGGCATTACTGGGAAATGCTGGTGGCACTGAACGGGCCATGTGACTCCAGTCTGGGACTCTGTCCACACAGAACAACGCAGGAGCCAGGTCTGACTCACCTCAGCTGCTTATCGAAGGTCCTTGAACAGAGGGCACTTACACAGCAGCCTTCTCGGATGCTGAAAGGTCCAGGGTTTTTAAATCCAGCGGATTTTATTCTAGTTGGGAAAAAAATCTTTTCAAAGACTTATTGCTGTTTTGAGACATCGAACCTCTGGTGGCTTTACCTCCTGGGAGGCAGTCTTTTGTACTTTATGCACAATTCCTGGTGCTAAGGGATACATGAAGAAGCAGTACCTTTTATACATAGGTCTCTCTGGAAGAGCCTTAAACAGGGAAAACTGTGAGTTTTAAAATATTCTGTTTTTAAAACATGCTAATCTTAGCTAATAAAAGTTCTTTTGAGAATAACATACAATGGCCACAGTGAAAGTGTAACTTTAATAATAAAGTGCCTATATTCATTTCATCAGGGGTACTCACAACTGCCTTTAACAAAATAGCATATTTATTGAAAACACAAACCAGGTAGTGCCTTAACCCATGTATTTTGTGATTTTTAAATATATTTAAAACTGTCCTCCTGCTCTAGTGCCATGTTGTACGAATGACTAGTTGTATGTATAACTGATGTTTATTCTTAGTTTAATAAATTTCTCAAAATGAAAGCTGAGCCTCTTCTGCCTGTAACAGAGTGTTGGCTGGCCACATGCCTGTTGAGGGCTTTGTGACTCCTCGTCACTGGAAACAGCAGCAGCTCTGTTCCAGACCGTAATGCCGGGGCTGTTGGACCTTATCCACGTCATTTCCAAAACTGCTCTGAGAGTGGCAGCGCTGCAGTGATATTTTCAGAGATGTCTGTGCTCCTCAGGAACCTCTCCCCAAATGTGTGGGTTCCCCGGGGACCTCTCCCCAGGATTTCATTGCATGAAGATCTGAATCGAAATTTTTTTCTTTTTTCTAATTTGCTCCCTTTTGCTCCAAGTGCCCCCACGAAGTATTACCAGCGGGGTGGGAAGCAGCTGTTTTTCTCACAGTAACTCCCACATCTTCACTGACCTCAGCAGTTGCTCCTTTTGTATGCAGAAAGGATGCCGGGTGCCACCCTTACTTTCAGTGTTCCTCAGGAAGGCCTGCGTTTTGGTTTTCTTCCTTCTTGAGTCCCCTCCTCCTTTCTGTCCTGAAGGCTTAGTGAAAATGACTGCTGCCATCCTCACTCCAAGTAAGACTGGTATGACAGCCAACTCAAAGCTACCACTTGTTGCCCCTCCCTTCTTCTCCCCAGACCGGTACCCACTGGCTGCTAGTGACAATTAGAAAGACAGAGTAGGGCAGGGAATGTGTAAGCCCATGAAGATGTGAGCGATGCTGACGGGGATGCCAAACTGTACAGGGCAGTGTGAGATCCTGGAAAGGCACATATGTAAATCCTTCAGTCAGATAATGGTGGACTTACAAATACATCAACACTGTATCAGGATGCAAAATTTCTCTCTAACCCATAGTCCCTGCAAAAAGAAACAATCTTGGTGACTTGAAAACAGCAAAGTTTGTTTTTTCCTCATCTCCCTCCTTTCTGTTATTATGTGACTTCAAGGTCAAGCATGGGTGGGTAATCAGGAAATCGGATGGTCAGTAAATCAATCAACTGTTCCCATGTCTATAACAGTGCTTTCCAACTTTTCATCTCATGCACACATACATTAATTACCAAAATTATGCAGCACACTAAAAAATACATTTTCGACAATCTGACAAAAAATATAGGTATAACTTTGGTTCATTCACACCAGATGGCTATGGTGGTGGCTGTTGTCAGTTTTTCACTTGACAAGCTAAGGGGAAAGAGGTCAGTGCCCCTGACTCAACAGTCAGGTAATGCATGTTTTAAAAATTATTGCAGCAAAATAAAATTTTTTATTTTTTCTTCCACCTAGCATTGACCATGCATTTCATTCCTTGGTCAGTATTAACTGTTATGTATTGGACCACTCATAATACATACTGACCAAATAATGAAAGTGATAGACAAGCAATTCTCCAAAGAACTACCTAATCTTTTGCCTTAATTGTATTGAAATTATTATTAAAAATAAATGGGTCAATGGCTAGAGTTTGGACATTTTAGTTTGACACAGAAAAACCAAGACAAAATAAAAATGCTTTTCCATGGGGCTAGCAAAGAACAATGGATGGAAGGAAGTCTTGAACTAAGAAACAAGCCTTCCGCAGGTGAGCCTTGGTAGTTGTTCAATGGCCTCTTCTGTAACTGAGGAAGCTTTCCCTATCTCTGCCCCGCCCCGCACCCCCCCCACCCCGCCCCACCGCAGCCCCCTTACCCTTTCCGTAGACCTCCTAATTTGGATTAACTGCAGGGAAAGCCAGTCTCAATTATAAGACATCTAAATTATAAAATGTTTTTTAGAAAAAAATAGTAGTTTTATTACCTCCAAAAATATAAGCAATTGATGGGCACAGCTCTTTCAATGTTATACTATGCATTTGTAATCACTAGCATCAATACTATACACTTTGTTCAGTAAACTTCTTAAATATAGTTGGTTTGTTTCAGAAGTTTCAACTTGCTCTAAACCTATTTTATTAAAATAACATGAAAGTTCTTATAAACTGCAAAATATTGTAAGAACTTATGAGTGAAGAAAGATCTTGATTTATACTTATGGCATAAATAGTTGAAAGGTAAAGTTCAGCTTAGCACAGGTTGAAATAATGAGACTATTTTCATGTAAACAACTCCAATATCAACCTCATATTTTAAACTAGTTAAAAGATTGGCCTCTGTAAGTGTATTCACCAAGAACCTACATTTATGGAAGGAATGAATTCCATCAACCACCTCAGAGGTATATTATATCCCCCATCCTATCCTCAAATCATAAAAATAATTATGGAACTACCAGATCTTTGGATATTCAAAGTTAATAACCAAGGAAAACTTACAGCTCCAAGAGAGCCAAGGAAATAAATGAGTTTAATAAACAGAAACCCCAGGCACATGGAATGTCTATGACTTACCTACCTAATGGCACGTTTCCTGATTTGCACCTATTAAACAAGTCCATTTACTATGGCTGATAACCATCAGTGGCTAAGAAAGCCATCCAGCTTAGAAGTCCTGAGGATCATGTCAGAATTGCCATGGGCCCCACATCTGTCTACCAAGATGGCCAGTGTGCTGTTTAGTGAAAAGCACATCTATCTCAGCACTTCCATTATCGCACAGATAAAGAAATGGAGCCCAGAATCAAAGATGACTTGTGTAAGGGCATGATAACCTACAGCCTTACCCACTTCCTAGCTTCTAAAACCTTTTCATATGACTTTTAAAACAATCCCAGAAGGTATACATTTTAATGGCTATTTACAGATAAGGGAACAGGTGTCCAACAGAAGAGATTTTGCCTAAGGCCACATTGCCATGTATAATAAAAATTCCACAGCTGGGAGTGAAACCTAGAAAGCTGAAAATGAACTTTACATGACATAAAATCCTGAACAGTTTCTTCTGCTAGAAATATAGAAGGGTACAAAAAACTTTCACTCCCATAGTAACAAGAAAAATCCAGCCCTGGCTGGCGTAGCTCAGTGGATTGAGTGCGGGCTGGGAACCAAAGTGTCCCAGGTTCGATTCCCAGCCAGGGTACATGCCTGGGTTGCAGGCCATAACCCCCAGCAACTGCACATTGATGTTTCTCTCTCTCTATCTCCCTCCCTTCCCTCTCTAAAAATAAGTAAATAAAATCTTTTAATTAAAAAAGAAAAATCCAGAAAAAATAAAAATAATACTTTCTATGAGGCTAGCAAAAAACAGTGGATATAAAGAATTTTTCACCAACTTCCTTCCAGGGAGAAATACGCCCTTCAGAGGCAAGCAGAGAACCTTGGTCCTTGTTTATATCAGGGTAGACTCCTAAGCTGGAGGCAGCCCTTGGAAGAACAGGCCTGACTAGATGGAGAAACTCTGCAGGGGTGAGAATTCAGCCAACACTCAGACAAGGGTGACTGAAAACTGGAAACATTCAAGAACAAACTGCCAGGCTAGACAGTCCCCCTTCCCTGGATTTTGCAGAGAAAATGACAGAAGAGGGGCTGGAAGTCTTGTGCATTCTTATGGTGACTGGATGCCAGAAACTTGTCAGAACAGAACAAAACATATAAACCTGCAACCCAAATTTCTCCCAGCTCAAACACTGTGAAGAACAAAAGGCAGCTGCATGGGAGGCTAAGGGTTGGATAAGACCAGTCAACTCAACCTCATTAAGGCTACAGCCCAGAGCCAGCCTGACCAGACCAGAAGGAAGGGGAATGGCCAGCCCTTCACTGTAACTGCTTATTAGAGGAAAGGAGTTACATTGCCTGGAAGTAAAACAAAAACCAGTGTTATGCTTCAGTCTCCACTGTTCTTTTTGATACCCACTACCTGGGAACATATATATTACAAGGTAAAAATTGATCACCTAGCTAAAGAGCTGGGCACACCAAATAGCACTCCACCATTATGAGCTTGTGGGATGGGATCAAACTGTCCCTGAAGCTGTCCACACAAACTGTGTGCATTGCTCATTCTTCCAGCATGGGCACTTGAGTTACAATACCATCCTTCATTTAGCATATGCTTAGGGCTCCATGTGACCAGCTGGTCATTTGTCATTTTTTGTGTCCAGCCACATTCCTCACAATATTCAAGTTTCCTTTGGATGAAAATATGGCTCCCCTTTTGCATTTAGTCTTGATGAGTCACTAAATCCAGATACTTGCTCTCAAACCTTTAAGCTAAAGGAGTTCATGGAGGGTCGTTCTCCCAAAGCTCCAGGACTGCCAGGGTGATTTCTGACCTGTATTTATACACTTACTTCCCAGATTTTCAATCTTGAATGAATAATTTAAAGATAAACAGTTGGGAGTTAATTTAATCCAGTGCAAGAATAAAAGCAAGATTCTTATGCAATTCCTCATTAAAAAAAAAAAAAAAAAAAACTTTCTGAGTTTCTAGCCTAAACCCAGTTCTTCAGCTTCCCTTTGATCTTATGAGCTCCAATATCCTTCAAATAAATTCTTTATTGCTTAGGTCAGCTGGAGGTGCCTGCTTGCAACAGAACCTCCCTGGTACTCTTTTCAACACTATGGCCCAGTAGACAACGCTCACCTCCCTCAGACATGACTGTAAAGGACTCTATTATACTGGGTGATGTAGTATCATCCTCTATTTGAGTACCTTGGCTATTCTTAGAATTTCTGGAAGCTAGAGGCACACTCATATTTCAAAGCACAAAAGCTTATATCTAAAATGTTCTCAGATTTATAACTACAAATATTAGACAATCACAAAAATATACTCCCAGTTCAGCATCTGAGTAATGAGTTTTATGAGCTGTTAAGTTATAATAGTATAAATTTTACACCAGTATTACTGAGAATATTTTGTTTTCAGTCTCATTGCTAAATGGTTTCTTTTACATTGGATCTCACTTGCATCTGGCACATACACTGTATATCTTCTCAATACAACTTCACGAACATGTTCTAGAATTTTCTCCTGTATATGTTAAGGAGAGCTTTAACTTTTGAGACAATAAGGAAACTCTACCTTTGATGACTAAATCAACAAATTTAATAATGAAGGCACTCTAAAGATTTCTGTCAGCTC